CTTAAGGATTTTAGGCATAAGCAGCAACATTGGTACTGAAATTTATATACAAAGTACAATGCTTAAAATTAAGAGTTTGCTCTATGGTACTTACTATTTTTGTAAGCAATTGATTTAATCCTAGGATATAATTTCAGTCACATTTTTCTTGATTATCTTAAATCCCAAATCTGTGTGTCAGCACACTGAATTTTTGCTCACAAAGATTCTTTTTCTGGTGCCTCGTTATGACAAAGAATGAACTAATAGTGAGCTCTTAAAAACTGTGTGTTGACATTATTGGGAAGATGAAAGCATGTGTGCCTTGTGATTTAGTTTTATTTGACGTGTAGCAGTTATTCATGACAATGTAGAATTCTGTCTACTTGTACTTTTCCGAAAGACGTTCTGTTTTCACTCATAGCTCTAATCATTTGCAGTTTATATAAGCAAAGCCCTGGTTTGTCTATAGCGTGCACTCTACAAAGTACTGTGGCTGTCTCATGAGTCAGCCAGTGATGCTGATGTCATACAGCACAGTAGATTGTGAGGTCTGTCATGTTAGTGAATCTTCCAGATAATTCTGGCTCGTTTGTTAGAAGGTATTTTTCTCATAAAAGATTTACATTAAGTGCTTTTAAGCTATCCTTCTCATCCTCCTACATTTTAAGCAGCATTTTCTGTGGCTTCTGAAGGTCTTCCACGTATGTGCATAGGGGCCATTGGTTGGCTCTGGTAACCTTGCCTGGCCCAAACTTTTGCAGCCATGTATTTTTATTCTTCCCTGCCTCACTGCTCTCCCTCAGCTGTTTAACGTACTGGACTCCAGCATTTATATGGTTTTTCATTCTATTGTTTAAAAAAACAAACATGTGGGATGATTCATTCAAAGATGTATTGTACTCAGTAAAAAATGGACTGTATCATGCAGATAATGAAGGCTGTGACCCAGTAGATATTTGTGTGGTATTTACATATATGTTGTTTAGTCTTTGGGACTGGTTAATTTCAATATGTGGGATTTTTATTTACAATGTTTTTACAATAAAGTTTAAAAACAATTACAGCAAAATAAAAATTTACAGAAGTTTAAAATGGAGTATGTAATAGAAAATATTAATGAGAAACACTTTACAAATGGTTTATACTTAGTGTAAGAAACTTAACTATTCCACTCCTTTCATTTAGATTCAGACATTCAAAGAGATTTACAATCATGTCACACTCTTATCAAAATAAAAGTGTGGAGCTGGACTTTGTATAAAATATGAATAATTAAGAGTTTCCACTGGTTCCTTATCTACCACAGAAATGTGTGCCATCGCTCTGGCTTGGTTCATTTTTGTTTGTAAAATTAATAGTGTCTTGATATCACTCTGCCTTCAGATCGCCATTTCTGGGAGTTTGTAAAGACTGAACATTTGTCCAGGAATTTAATATGTGTGTGTGTGTACGTGTATATGTATGCATGTATATATGTGTGTGTGTGTGTGTGTGTATGCATGTATATGTATGTGTGTATATATGTATGCACACACACACCATCTGACTGAGGTAGTGGCAAAAGTAAACAGGCAGGCAGATGGATGCCAACTGTTTATCACTGATTTTGCCTACCACTTTGGAAATCGTTGTGAAGAGCTTTGCGTGGCTCAAAGGCTAAGGGCCTGCTACCCCATGGGATTTGAGGGAGAGGGACTGAATTCACAGTACCAGACCATTCCTGATGTTTGCAAGCATTCATTTTCCTGCATGGCTTCTTAGCCGCATCTTCTAAGACAGATATATGGCCTGTCTCAGCCTCCCTACAGCTGGGGTTACAGGCATATGCCACCTATACCTTGCTTGCAACAGGCTTCTTAATCCAGCCAAAGCAGATCTCAAGATACTCCGTAGCTCAGCTATCAGGAAGCAGAAGGAAGAAGGCATACTGCATGCCAGTTTGTTGGTTTGGGTTTTGTTTACATTTGTTTTTATAGCCAGCCTTTCTGTCTTGAGGGTGAACATCACTTCCTGTGAGATTCTGGCCCTGAGGATCACTGACAGGACATTTAAAACATTTGTCCTGTCTCCTCTTTCCTTCAGAGAACCCAGGGGGAGGGGCCTCTGGGAAGGTTTGGAGGAAGGAAAGGGAAGGGAAAAATAGTCTATAATCTCAAAGATAAAATAAGAGCATAGTAATATTATTTGTTTTACATACAGAAGAAAACAGAATTGTTATTTCTTTAAGGCACATGTAAGTTTTCTCTACCTTACTCTTTATTAGTGATGGGCTTACTAGAACCCAGACTTGGTTCAAGTGTCATAGGATATTTCAGTTCCCGTGAATATGAGTCTGTGGATGTTAATATTTACATGAAACTCAGTGTAAAATGAGCATTTATAATAGGATGTTTTCAGTAACTAAATAACCAACTTTAATGGATATGTAGATTAAGTGTAAGTGCTGGGTCATGGTATAAAACATCCTTTTTCTGCATTTCTTTATAAGCCCAAATATCTTTATATGTGATGGCTATTGGATATATTAAGGGGGAAAGTCAAAGTCTGTGATCTTTGGTACTGGAGAGATCAGTTGATAAGTTGCAAACTGTATAAGAATGGACTGAGGTCACTTCCCAGAACCCACATTTAAAAAGCTGGGCATGATAACGTGTATGTATAATCCAGCACTGGGGAGGCAGAGACTAGATGATCCCTGGGGCTTACAGGCTAATCTGCCTAGCCAAATTTGTGATCCCCAAGCCAGTAGGACTCCCTGTCTTAAAAAAAAAAAAGTAGCTCCTAAAGAACAGTATCTAAGATTTCCTGACATCCCCACACATGCACACACAATTGTGCTTATACACATACACACAGGGAAAAACTGTTGTAACAGTATCCTGCTGTTATCTTCTGTACATTTTGTCATGTGCTTCAGGGCAATACATTCAGCAGGCTCTGAAATAACTACCCGAGCATAGATTCGTGAGCAGTTCTAACTAGTACATAACCATACTACACTAGGCACCTGCTTTTCTCAGGTGCAGTTTTGACATCTTGACATCTGTTAGACCTCCTCTTCTCAATCCAAACCGAGCTGGTTGTGCTTACTGAGTCTGCAGGCCGCTTTCCTTGCCTCACTCGTTTATGAAATCCAGCCTGCTGCAATCACACATCATCGGTGACAGAGAAGACAGGAGACAAGAGGAAGGAAGCAGTACCCAAAGCAGTATGGTTAGTTTATGGTATTGAAAACAGCAACAAAATAGCCACCTCGCCAGGTGGTGGTGGTACACACCTTTAATCCCAGCACTCAGGAGGCAGAGGGCAGAGGCAAGCGGATCTTTGTGAGTTCGAGGCCAGTCTGGTCTACAGAGTAAGTTCCAGGACAGGTTCCAAAGCTACAGAGAAACCCTGTTCCCGGGGGGGGGGGGGCACCACCTCATATATATGAGGAAGAGGAACAAAGAAAAATGGGTGAAGTAAACTTGGGCACATGAGATCAGGCAAAAACAGACAAAAGGAAGGAACAGAAGAACCAGACAGACATGAGTGTGAATTCCCACCAAAGCATTCTGCAAAACTGTTTAAGGCACTAAAGCACATCTCATGGTCTGGATCTCAGAAGCTGTGATGCTGGTGTTTCCACAGAGCTAGAACTAGATGTTCCCTGGATCTTTGTCATTCTTAAAATTCTGGGTTATACCGTTACTGAAGAAACTACATACCTTTGTTGCAAGATAGGAAATTAAACTAAAACTGGGCCAGAAACTTCTTCTGCTGGCAAGCTTTCACATTGTCAGGAGGAGCTATGCATGCTACTGGGTGCTAAAAGGCATCTGTCAATGGTCTATGAGCCCTACAAGCTACAGTACCAACTCACAAGGCAATACATGCCCACAGGTATTAATGGCACAAATAGTACGGTGGTAACCATTTACTTCTGCTGAATCTGAGGCCTGCTTCACAAGGGGGACCTTATTCCTGATACTATGAACACAATCAAAATGGCTACAAGTTCCTAGAATACTTAACCACAGTTGTTTACATAAGTTGTTATGGCATCAAACTGCCTTTAAAATATTTTTATTTATGCCCATAGACAAATACTACACTCAGCCTTAAACAGAGATGCTTCTCTTTGCAAAGGACTGTACAAATAAGTGAGGACCCAACATTAAGGCTTCAACAGTGATGTGCGATTCTCCCTCTGTATTCTGTGATTGCCGTTAATAAATAAAGAAACTGCTTTGGACATATAGCAGGGCAGAACTTAGCTAGGCAGGGAAAACTAAACTGAATGCTGGGAGAAAGGAGGTGGAGTCAAGGAGAAGCCATGGAGCTGCCGCCAGAGACAGAAGCACTGAAACTTTGCTGGTAGACCACAACCTTGTGGTGATTCACAGATTAATGGAAATGGGTTAAATTAAGATATAAGAATTAACAAATCTAAAGCTAATGGACCAAGCAGTGATTTAAATAATATGGTTTCTGTGTGATTATTCTGGGAGTCTGGGTGGCCAGGAAACGAACAAGCATCTCCTACAACAAACAGAACATTTATGCCACCATCTCCATGTCTCAGAAAATAAGAAGTTTCAGAAAGAATATAAGAAGGGTTGCAAAATGCTGTCTTCTGTGCATGACACTGCTATTATAGATAGATCCCACAAAGGCAGAGGTTAAGCCGGGTGGTGATGGCACACAGTCTTAACCCCAGCACTCAGAGACAGAGGCAGGTGGATCTCTGAGTTGGAGACCCGCCTGGTCTACACAGTGAGTTCAGGATAGCCAGTACTACACAGAGAAATCATGTCTCAATAATAATAATAAATAATAATAATAATAATAATAATAATAACAACACAGAAATTAAAAAAAAACAGCAGAAGTTATCTGTGCTAAGTCTGTACAAGACTGAGCCTGTCATCAGTCATGCGTGGAGAAGGTTCACACAGCTGAGCTTTTGGCTACTAGTAAGTTTTGGGGAAGGGCATTATCTTCAATTATGGGCCCACAGGTGAGCTTACCAGGGTAAAATGGATAATTTAAAACTTCTGGTCACCCAGATGGCCCTGGATAAACGCTGTGTAGCAAGACCGAAAAGAAAAGAACTGAATGTGAGAAAGGCAGGTTTGTAAGGAAAGGGATTGATGGGAGTGGAAGGGCACTAGTGGGAATGGGAGCCACCATAGCAGGCACATATGAAACTGGAAAAGAGCAAGTTTTTCAAAATAAAGAAATCTCAGGACTGGAGAGATGACTTAGCAGTGGAGAGCACTAGCTGCTCCCCAGAGGATCCGGGTTCAGTTTCCAGCACCCACATACAGCTCACAACTGTCTGTAACTCCAGTCCCAGAGAATCCAACATGTTTACACAGACATACATGCAGGCAAAACACCAGTGCACCTAAAATTAAAAAAAAAAAAGTATTTTCTTAAAAAAAAATCAGAGGGGGGTGGCTAGAGACATGGCTCAGAGGTTAAGAGCACTGGCTGCACTTCCAAAAGTCCTGAGTTCAATTCCCAGCAACCACATGGTGGCTCACAACCATCTGTAATGAAATATGCTGCCTACTTCTGGCCTGCAGGGACATACGCAGGCAGACCACTGTATACTTAATAAATAAATAAACCTTAAAAAACAATCTGGGTGGTAAATAACAACTGTGCCTCTATCGTACACAAAACAGCAGCTCAGTGTGCTGCTATGCATTAGAGTGAGCAAAACCGTCACTCCCAGTCTAGGTGGGCTACTTAAAAGCGAGGCAGAAAGAATTCGGTTGTTATAATAGCACATCCTTAGAAAACCACACAATAATGCATCTTTCTCCTCTTAGTAATATCATGGCTGACTGAATGTTGGCTCTATTGATCATTGAAACCATCTCGTAGGTTTGAGATTTTATCGGAATAGTTATGAATATGAAGTAAAGCAAGATAAAAGACTAACACAATGAAACTGGCATTGGCAAGTCAATCCCAATTCTATAAAATAACCATAAATGTACAATACACACTAACTGCACTTGTGAGCCTTCAAAATTTTCTTTTAAAATTTGACTACTGACAAAAGTCCTTTTCCCCCCTCTGCTTAAATTTTGTCATAGCAACCAAATCTATTCAGGACATTCTACTCAACTTAAATTTGATATAACCAGGGAAGTAATGCATGCTAGTTAGGAAATGGGCAACATTTAGCCCAGGACTTAGAGAATGGCTAGTTCTAGTCCTTTCCTTTGTTAGCCTCTAGACTCTAGCTTATATCTTCATCTTAGATGAGCCCTTACTGCACTGCATCTTCTCTCACAGGAGCTGCTATGGGAACGTGTTGGAGACTGAAGTCGGTGCCATATGGGCTGTGCCGTCAGTTACCTACTGTGTTAATCTGGGCAAGCTGGCTGACCTTAACAGTCCTGCATCCCTTTCTTTATAAAGCAGGGATGATTAAAAGAAAAAACTGGTTCCAGCTGGGTATTTTGAGAATTAGAGCGAACATGCTTATAAAGATGCTCCCAACCTGCCTTGTACATCTTGCTCACTTAATTATCTACTTCATTGCTGCTGACATTTTCTGCTACACAATTATCCCCTTGGTTCATTTGCATTCTGACTCCTAGTGTTTTTCTGAAATTAGTAGATGCTCAATTAAGTGTTGAGCTCAGAGAAGGTAAAGCTATGATAAAGGGAATATTGGTAGTAAGATGTGAGCTGGGAGCAACCTCTGTATACGTCATAAAAGAAATAAAGGGCACTGTTGACTGCTGATAGCAAAGTTCTTAGTCTCAGTGAGAGAGGCAGTGGAGAGGATACACAGAGGATCGATGCTGATAATGGGAATTGGAAGCCTTTGTGCTAGGAGAAGGGGTTTGTAACGGAAGTAACGAATTCAGAAAGCTACCATACCAAATTAAATTGTAAGGGTGTTGGTAGAGGGTATTGAAGAGTTTCAACCATCTGCTGGTGGAGAGAGTCATGGTTGTAGGTCACATTTGGAAGTTATTTGTGGGCATGACCTACAGTTCTATGCATACTTCAAGTTCAGAAATTAACTAGTAAAAAGATTCTTGTTACCTTTATCTATTATTGTTCATTAGAAAGTAATTTAGCCAAAATGTAAGTGGATGCAAGCAATCCAGCCAGCTGTCCAGCTCCATAAAATGGCACTTCCTAAAGGGTTGGCTCTTCAGAAATGTGACTACATTTGAGTGAAAGGGTCCTGGAGACAATGATTGTGTAGCTCTTGATGCTCTTCATAGAGACACATGGAAAATGGTAACCATGGTTTGGAGCACTTGATGATCTTCATAGAGACTCATGGGAAATGATAACGGTGCTTTGGAGTGCTTGATGCTCTTCATAGAGATGCATGGAAAATGGTAACCATGCATGCTTTGGAGCACTTGATGCTCTTGGAGAGGCCTGGAGTTGGATTCCGGTATCCATATCAAGCATCTCGCAGTTGCCCGTGTCTTGAGGGGATCTGACACCATCTTCTGGCCTCTGTAAACACCCACACATGTGGCATATGCACACATTCACATTGTTTTTAAGTAAGTAAGTATTTTAATAAAAAAATGATAACCACGAGATAGAGAAACTTTTAGAACTAAACCTTCTAGAGAAAATACGATATCTTTTACACAATTTGCTATGAGAGAGCAGCCGGTTTATGTATTCACTTCCTACATATTAGTTAAGACCAGGAAAAGTAAGATTGCTACAAGGAAGAGGACAGCCTGAAAACCAGATGTAAACTGCCCCTCTGTTAGGAGACCAGTAGACAGAGGGCTGAATAAAGTAGTGGACTATATAATTGGTTGAGGTGTGAAAAGAATTTAAACAGAAAGAAATATCAAAAAAAGGAAATTTTAACAACTTTGATACAGAAATTAGAAAAGCACCAATAGTGTCTCAGGGTTTGAGAGTGTACTTTCTCTGACGTGATTATTAGTTTTGCTATTTTCTTAATAGACTATAAGTTAATGTTAGTTATATGCCTTTAAAAATTCTTCTATATAGTCACAACACAGTCTCATGTTTAGCCTCTTTCTGTTCTAATCCCTAGGATTTGCAAATGCGGGTAGGTTCCTGGTTTTGCTACAGCCCACTCTCCCGTTCCTGGCCATACACATAAATTCACTGTCAAAGCACATAGAACTTCCTCAGAAAATAATGTTTGTCTGGCTTACCACTGCTTTTTCTCTGATAAGCAAAATGATGTGTGTATATATATAAATGCTGCTGTCTTGCTATATGTGTGTGTGTGTGTGTATTTTATATATAATATTCAGAAAATATTACCATGATTCCATTTTCTGGTTGCTAGGAGGAGTATGATGCATGTAATTAAAACTTGCCCCTGGGCTGGGGTTATAGGTCAGGGTAGTGCTTGTCCCAGCTTGTGCAAGGTACTGCATTCCCTCCTCACCTTTTGAGTTCTTTTATAGTAACAGTGTATGGACAAAGAACAGAAAGCATACAGACTGTAGCATTGATGTCCATTGTTTATGTTGTAGGTGCTGTCGGCACTAAATAGAATGCAGAAGGAGCAAAACTGGATGTTTAGCAAGCCTGTTGTCTACTTCAGGGAAGAGAATTGGTTAGGAATTCACATCAGCCAAAAGAAGCCTCTGGTGGCCTTGAATGTGAAGAGATTTAAGCAGCCAGAATTCATTTTTTTTTTTCCATTTTGGTTTGTGTAACAGGAAGAGCGGCTGCTTGTGTCGTCCCGGCCGCCTGGCTATCTTACACCCGAAAGAATCACACAGAAACTGTATTCATTTAAACATTGCCTGGCCCATTAGCTCTAGTTTCTTATTGGCTAATTCTTATGTCTTAATTTAACCCATATCTATTAATCTGTGTATTGCCACATAACTGTGGCTTACTGGCAAGATTCTAACCAGCGTCCGTCTCAGGCAGGAGATCCATGGCATCTCTCTGTCTGCCCTTCTTCCCAGCGCTCAGTTCTGTCTACTCCGCCTACCTAAATTTTGTCCTATCAACTAGGCCAAGGCAGTTTCTTTATTCATTATCCAATGAAAGCAACACAGAAACAGAAGGAATTCCTGCACCAGGTTTGAGTCAGCAGTCACTGTCTATCGCCTGTGTGTCAGGATAAATCCCAGCATTGGTGCTGGATATGAAAAGTAGGTGGTGTGTCCTGGAGGATGCGTAGCCCAGTGAAAAGGATACTGTAGGAAAGCAGTGTGAGGTGAAAGCAGCACAATATCATGTGAAGGCTCCACATGGGCGCCAGTGTTGTCAACTGCGTGTCGCAGTCTGCCCAGCACAAGGCCCATCCGTGTGTAGGAAGATAACATGGCAACTCGAGGCTGAATGCCTTGAGTGGAGCAGCAAGTGTAGGATGTTTCAGCACTGCCCTCCCGCTGTTGGGAAGGCTCAGTCCTAAGACCTGAGAGACGCCAGCACCAGCACCAGCAGCGTGTGGCTGTGCATGTCCTTTCTGCACGGTGCTAGTCACAGTTGTGTGAGCAAAGCAGAGCAGAACATCTGTCTTCACTCTCTTCCTCGCCATGGTGACAGTGGCCTTCTGCTCCTGCAGAGAACAGTGCTCACTGGCTCCTCCTGTGGCCTCTGTCAGTGTTGTCTAAGAGACCTGCCTGTAGCCACTGTCTCCCATTTGTGCTCTGTGTCACTTCCCGCCATGGCAGTGACTTTACACATTGGTGAATGTCATGTTCCCATTGAAAGCAACTTCCCTCCAATTAGTCTTAATTGGTATTTTAACTCAGTGCCTAAAAACGTAGGGACTTAGTTGATATTTGTTAAATGAGTAATATAAACTTTGGGGGCTGTGAGATCTCATTTACTCTTTAAAGGTAATTCTAGAGGTAGCTGAGTTTGGCAATGATACTGAAAAACTTTTTTAATTATTATTTCTTTTTCTTTTAGAAAAATGACGTGGGATCAGTAGAGAAACTTTCTCTGCGTAAACAGCGGTTCATGCTGTTTTCCTCCCTGGAGCATGAGGGAGAGTATTACATGACGCCCCGGGACTTCCTCTTCTCAGTCATGTTTGAGCAGGTGGAGCGTGAGTGACTTCTTTTTTTTTTTTTTTTTGTAAACTTAAACATGAGTATTGGAAACCCTGTTTTCAAGATTAGTGACAGCTTTTTTGAATTTGAATTATCACCATTCTGTTTTGTGTATATTATTGTTATGATATGACAGTTGTAAACTTTCATATGTATCTATCTTAGAAGTAGTTGTTTTGTATGGGTTTTTTAAATGAAAAAAAAAGTGTGTTTTTAAGCTGCCACTAAAAAGATTATTTAATAATTTGACTGGATATTATTACTTTTTGGTGGAATTGAGGTTTTAAATTGAGAGGAAAAATAAACTAGACTAATTATTAAGGAAAGCCATATATCAGTTATTATGTTATTATGCTGTAAGTAGAAAAATTCTGAAAAAAAATAACCAAAAATTAAAATAACAAAGGACAATGACTTTTTAAACGGTAAGCTCACAATTATCCCAAGATGGCAGAAACCCCAGGTGTACCCGGTTCCTGGCTCACCCCAACAGACTGTGTGTGCCACAGTGCTGTGAACCTTCTCGTGCTGACACAATGTAACAAAATACTGGCTTCTCAGTAAGTAAGCTAATGGACAGGAGAAGTGTGAGGACAGCGGTGTGGGGCAGTCAGCAGGGTGGAGTGCACAGGGAAGGGCTGAGCAGGGCAAAAGCAGGTGAACACCATCAGGAATCCTGGGCACAGGAAGTCCCCCAGTCACTGGAGACGGAGAGCTTGGGCATTTCTTGGAGATCACATTGAAGAATAAATAAGGGCTAAATTGTACAAAAGATCTCAGCGACAGCTCACCCACTCAAGGAATGTTTACTTGGCAGGGCTATGTGGACTTCATCTTGAGGAAACAATGAAGGTTTGGAGATTAGAAAATAAAGTAATAAAAGTGTGCTTAGGTTATTTTAATAAAGCCCCATGGAAGGAAATTTAGCAGTATGTGTCAAAACTTTTAAAATGTTGACCTACATTGATATAGTAAGATACTAAGCAAAGACTTAACAGATAGTTTGGGTCACATGTGGTGGTGCATGTCTTTAATCCCAGCTCTCAGGAGGCAGAGGCAAGCGAATCTCCATGAGTTCAAGGCCAGGCTGGTCTACAGAGTGAGTTCCAGGACAGCTAGGACTACATAGTTGAGACCCTATCTCAACCAAACAAGTAAATAAATAATAATTTAACCTCTGACATGAACAGAACTTGGACATTATCACTCCTGTCCTCACAACAGAAAAAAAAAGGTTAAAAACTATAAAAGCAGCGACCCAAGTCCATCAAGGGTCCCAGAATTAAGGTCCCTGGGTACTCTGACCTAAAACTAGAGACAGGTAGATCCACGGGGTCAGTCAGGGTTTGCTCAGATAAGAAGTCACCTGGAATCTGCCAGGACTTTATGTCAGAAATAGTTTAAGAATAATTAATTAGCCGCTAGAATCTGAGTATAGACCTACTTGAGGGATTAAAACTCCTGAAGAGGAGCAGTTCATGTGGCTTGAATGGTAAGAGCGCTCAGTTCTTCAATCCTTCAAAGCCATGTGGAGTAGAAGGAAAAAACCAACTCCACAGAGTTGTCCCTTGAGCCCCACATGTATGCCATGGCATTTGCTGGCGCACACATACACTAATAATAATAATAGTTTTAAGATTTATTTTTAATTAGGTATGGGTTTGTGCTCCTGAGTGCAGATTCCCCAAAGACTGGAAGTCTGGGGTTCCTGGAGCAAGGGTCATACTGTTTTCAGCTGCCCGGCCTAGGTGTAGGGACATGAACTTGAGGAAATGGCTCAGCAGCTAAAAGCTTTTGTTGTGCTTTTAGAAGACCCAGGTTCAATTTCTCAGCATCCACATGGTGACTCACAACTCTCTGTAATTCCTATTTCAGAGGATCCAGTACCCTCTTCTGACCTCCACAGGCACCAAGCACACACGTGATATACATTGTAGGCAGAACACTCACACACACACACACACACACACATACACACACACACACACACACACACACACACACACCTTTAAAAAAAAAACAAAAAACTACCCCTCACTGACAATTCTAGTTCTATGAAATAGAAACTCATTCTAGACTGTTATAGCCAAACAGAGTTTGCTCTCATAAAAGATGAAAATCTTATGAGAATCAATAGATTTCGCTGAGGGTGCTGTTCTGCTCAGCTGCACCCTGCTGAGCCGTCTGTCAATTACTAATAGGTGTATTTGAGTCTCCGGTGGTTCACGTGTACATCATTTCTCCTTTTGGCAGTGTGTGTATCTGTGTGTGTCTCCCTGAGATAAACATTTCTTAAATAAGACAAAGTGCCAACCAAAAGAACAAGATTCACCCTTATTAAAATAGAACTTTATTCATCAAAAGTTGCCTTAAAGAAATTGAAACAACAAACCCAAAACTGGCAGGATTTATTTATAACACACAGAATGAACAAGAGTTAACATGTACATATGAAGCTACAATTTTAAAAAAGTATGCACACGGAAGAGTGAAGGTCAGGTCATCTCAGAGTATGCCAAGTGACATGGTAATTACTTTAGAGTGACATCACTGAAGAAACTGTCACTACAGAAAGGGCCATTTGGCCTGTCTTTCCCTACATGCAACAAGCCATAAAGATTCTTTTGAGAGGGACATCCTTCACAAAGCAAAGCCAGAAAAACAGCCTTGATCACCAGACTGGTGACTGCGGTAATTCATCACAGCCCCAATTAACAAGTTCTTTGAAGTAACCTTTAGCTTCCATTAGCTTCTACCGCCGTCGCGCCCCGTATCTCTTAACGACATCCCTAGGATATAGCTTAGTGGAGAGATCCATTTGTCCTGTCTGTCCTTCCTAAATTGATTGTTGTCTAAATATCAAAGCATCTTGGCTTTGGTTGTTTCTTCAAGCTCCACTTTCTTGTGAGGCTTTCCTCATACACGTCAACTTAATAAAACAGACTTCTTTATCGACTCATTAGATTCCACCGAAGAGCCCTCCTAAGGGCTAAAGGAACTTACCTACCTGGGATGTGTGAGGCCCTAGCTCCCATCCCTAGAACTGCTCAAGACGACTAAGCAGGGAAGAGTGCTCTCCTCTCTTGATCTTTTCTCACCCCCTCCTCTGTACAGCTATTAAAAAGTGGAAGAAATAGCTATTCACAGAAGAGAAAACAAGAAAATGAACATAAATTCTTCCCTTGTTTGTAACTGTGGTGGGATAAAATTCTACACCTCTTATATTGGCAGGTATCACAACAAAGTTTGAGGAGGCTGTAAATCAGAGGTGGAGAGCTCCAAGAACTTTTATACACTCTTGGTTGGAAATGGAAAGCTCCATCTGCTTTGGAAAACAACTTGTAACTGCCTTGCAAAATTAAACATTATAGAATTTTCTACCAACATTCACATTCCTACGTGTATATACTCTATACCCAGTAGGAACACTTGCTGGTGTGTCATAGGTATCCAAAAGAGTGTCTATAGCAGCAGCCTTGGGTTAGCAGGAAAGCTAGAAACCATCCACATGTCCACCGGTGAGAGAGTGGATAAAGCAGGGTGTGCTCACAATGGGGAATTCTGTTCATAAGAGTGAGTAAACTTAGTATCTGTTATAGCAGCATAAAGAACACATAAATCCACTGCTCACTGAAACTGGTAGAAAAATGAGGAATCACAGTTACAGTCTCTGGAAATGTGTCTGAGGTGTTATAGGAAATTTAGAAATGCCTATTCAGGTTAAGCTGCTAAGATTGATGAGAAAATGTTCAAGTCTAGAGTGCTTTAACTAAGACTGGCATTCTCCCTACCTGTTGCAACTCAATGAGACGGAAACTGGTTCTAGCCTACGATGCAGGAACACAGCTCTGAGGGCTATTGGGAGGAGCAGTGCTCTAGGCTTTACTTTAGAACTTTGCTCCTGCCCTGCCCCCGGAGCCGGAATGCTGTGGGGCGGCTGAAGGGTGGGAGCACCCTCTCCCACCCAGTCAGTCCTTATTTGCTTATTTGTAGAGTGGACTGGAGTCTCTGCCTTTCATTCTCTTCCACCAGGAACACTGGAGATCTGGCTGCTCTTGTTATGGCTTGAAAGGCAGAGGGGATCCAGAAGAGATGAAGACCCAGGGTTCACTTGCTGGAGAAAGAGCAGCACCCTTGTCCTTCTGTCTGGCTACAGAACTCTGGCCTGAGTGATAGCAATAGGTTAAGTAAAAAACTTCTGGTCTCCTCATTTTTAACATAAAATGGAGATTTTCAGGCACTCTCAGAAACAGGCACAGGTGGGTCAGCTAGACACACTAGACTAGACATGCCTGTAATTGGAACACACTGGAAGTTGAGGCTGGAAGATTGCTAGTGTGAGGCCAGCTAAGATCCACAGTACGCAAAATCCTGTTTCCAAAAAAAACAATAAACAAGTTGGTGTAGGTTGTGGTAAGAGGTAGTTGAGCTGTCAGAGATAGATTCAGGCCAACCTACATGCTGACTGCTCTGCCTAACAACACTTGGGAAGGAGACAAAACTGGGGTGGGGGAGCTTTCCAGAGGTCATAACAAATATTAACCACCCACAGTGGGGATTATTCCTTCATGGGAACCTAAATTCAAAAGATGATCTCTAGAGCAGTGTGTGTCTAGGGTTCTCATCAAGTCAGCAGGGCCAGATTGTCTGGATTCAGCACCCTAGTGAGCTGCTCCGGAGGAACTCAACAACTCCCAAACCGTCCCATGCCTCACTGGGGCGTTCCCTCAGGTTTTAGCACTGTTAGAGGGCAGGGTGAGACATAGTCTTTACTAAAGACTGTCTGACCAGACACTATGCACATTCACAAGCAGTAAGTGAGCCATGGAGAAGGAGCCAGATTCCCACATGTGTCATCTGAATTGTCCCAGGCCCAACAGCAGAAGCCGAAACACACAGAAACAAGACCTGTGACTGAACAGAAGCGTGCAAGAGAAATTGCTTGTGGAGCAATCAGATAACAGATTTAACAGAAAAAGACATCAAAATAGCCCCT